AACAAAAAAATGTCAGAGAGCATGTTCCTGTAAGTTTTCTTTGTGAGGAACCATTAATGAATGGTACATACATTGCTGAGACTGATGAGTCTTCCTGTGCATTGTTCTCAACCTTAAATGGTACACAGATAACTTCTTAGCTGATATGGGACTTATATATCGGAAGTACAACTTTTAATGGTGTCCTCGAAAACTTATGACTGATATTTTCACTATGCCAACTGAAAATTGTCCTGGTCTTGTGGCTCATTTTCAAACACAGCATTTTCTGCAGTCTAGAAAAAGATTAATATGTTCATTGTTTCCATATTAGGAACTTTTCCAGACTGCCACATTTGCCATGATGCGGCATTTCCTATTACTCTGCCTATCACTCTTATTTCCGATATCCAAATGAAGTTTCCTTTGTGCTGCTAATTCCTAACAATAACTGGATTTTTCTTCTTCCCCAGCTGACTCAAGTACTTTATTTTGTTTCAGTATATTTTTGGTAGATTCTGAAATTCATTCACATTCATAAAGTATAATCCAGTTCTGTTTTGGGCAGTGCCATCCATGTGCAGTTATCTGGGCTGTGAGCTTTAACTTCTCATAGTCCACTTATAATATGTTTTGAAAGTATCTCCATAACCTTTTGGAAAATGGATATTCACAACCCTTTGGAATAATCATAACCCTAGGAAAGGCATGACCTTGTTAGAGATCCAAACCTTTTGCAAAGTATGATCTTCCTGAGAAGAGTTAAAAACTCACTTGAGTCAACCTTCTCCTTAGTGGTAAATATCAACTAGCATTCAAGCAAGGCAAGTAGGTTTCTCAGCAGTTAGACTGATGTACCTAGATATCTCTTTGAACTGTTAGGAACAAAGATAAGCCAATGCACAAAAAACATATATAACAGAGTTTCAGAAGTATGATCTTCCTGAGAAGAGTTAAAAACTCGCTTGAGTCAACCTTCTCCTTAGTGGTAAATATCAACTAGCATTCATGCAAGGCAATTAGGTTTCCCAGCAGTTAGACTGATGTACCTAGATATCTCTTTGAACTGTTAGGAACAAAGAGATGCCAATGCACAACAAACATATAGCAGAGTTTCAGAAGTGTTCTCTTCAGTTGCCCCAAAACATCTATCTACTCTCTCTTAAAGCGGACAAGAGCAAAGCAGGCAGCAGTCTCCTGAAGTGGACAGACCATGAGGCACGGAGACACAGAGGTTGCCTCTTTAAGCCCCAAAGCCCTATACTCCTGCGCTAGTGCTCCCTCTGATGCTAGCTCTTAATTCAAAACACTGCTCTTATATCAAAGTGAAACCCGGTCTGAGAAAAATGCTCTCAAATTGGGATGCTCTTAACTAGAAATCACACTGTGTTTGTATTGCTAGAACATTAGTGCTAATTTTGTAAGTTGCTATAGAGCAGTGGTTCCCAACATTTGCTCCTCCAGAAGTTTTGCACTTTGGCAGCCAGAATTTGTAACAGTTGGACAAGCTGTCAGGAGATTCTGGGAGTTGAAGTCCCAAACATCCGGAGGACCAAGCATTGGAAACCACTGCTACAGAGGTATCACGGTGTCCAATTCCACATTCTTTTTCTAATTTGTCTCCAGATGTCTCGCTCATGAGTCTACACATGTTCTCCTCCTGTTTCTCCCACAATGGCTCACTGTGATTTTTCCCCCCACTTGAGGTTTTGTGCAAAAGTGGCAAATCTTTACTTTGCTATTGCTACATCTGCGTCTGTGCAACATCTCCACTCCTCAAGAAATCTATCTGCCCTCTGTGTGCATTGATGCTCTGGGGAGACCAACCACAGAGGAACGAAGGAACAGTCGTACGTGTTTGTAGAATGATCTTGCTCCAAGGATGCATGTTACCCTTGCACAATACCTCAAAAGAAAAATGTATTATGGGGCACTGGGGGTAGACTGCCATAGGTGAAGATAACAGAGGAGTCTGGAACAACATCCTTCTGATGTCAAACATGAATTTGGAAGGCCCTACCTAGACAGAGACCGGCCAGACCCAAAAAGAGGATCCGGAACACCTGATAAGACAGCAAGCACCAAGAAAGATTTTTCCTTCAATTTTCCAAAATAAAATCTCACCAAGTTGAAGCAAAAGCCACCCAAGTTTTATTTCATTCCAGCTGGAAGTGATCATGACTGCAGTTATCTGCCCAAGGAGCTGACATGCTGGATGGGCAGAAAAAACAATATTTATAGGGCTGTCAGATTCAAAAATTCCCATGCCCACCCCCACCCCCCTGAGCTGGCTTCATTGTGATTGGCTGTGACGTCAGCAAGCCAGCAGGAGATCCAATGAGAGCCCGACCACTGCTTTGGCCGCTCAGCCAATGAGGTGGAAGGAGATGGGCAAATGGGAAACAATGAAAAGAATGCCATGATGATGGGTTATGAATGGCCCTTTCTGTGCCTGTATTGATAAAGGGGCCAAAGTGATAGCTTAAGCCCTCAAACTTCAGCCCAGGCTATTGTCTTGAGTCTTGAAATAACGTCTTCTGTCTAGCTCCAAAGAGCCAGTTCCATCGTCTTATTGCTCTGTAAAATTGACTTGATGATGAGAATTGAAATTCCTTTTTGGAGATGGAGAAATGGCACAGTGGGGAGGCGGTGACAATCCCTGGTTCCTTGCAGTTGGGAAATGTATGGTTGGGTGATTCTGTATGTCCATAAGTCCCATTGTCCTGGATGGTCTAGCCAACAAGGCCCTCCGAAGTCCAGGAAAAGGGCCCATTTACTTATTGTCCATGCAAATGAGTTTCTGTCAAGACCTTTGTTAATGGGATTATTGGCTCAGGAAGTTTGAAAACTCCTGAGCCCTGGGTTGGTGGCAAAGCTCATGAAAGGGTTACCTTGCTTCATATTTTATATAGACATACTTACTTACTTAGGCAATCCCTTGTTGCCCGAGTAGGATAGTCTTCCAAGATGGGTGTACTGGTGGGTCCATAGGTGACTGTGGAGCCCTATTCTTGATCTGCATCTTCTCCCGCAGTGAGGGCATTGGTTTCCAGGTGGAAGGCGGTCTCAGTCAGGGTTAGCTTGACAGACTGCTGGTCACAGCTGATCTCCAGCTAGAGCGCTCAAGGGTCAGGGCTCCCCAGTTCTCAGTGTCTACGCCAGAATTTTTAAGGTTGGCTTTGAGCCCATCTTTAAATGTCTTTTCCTGCCCACCAACATTCCATTTTCTGTTCTTGAGTTCGGAGTAGAGCAACTGCTTTGGGAGATGGTGGTTGGGCATCCAGACAACGTGGCCGGTCCAGCAGAGTTGATGGCGGAGGACCATCACTTCAGTGCTGGTGGTCTTTGCTTCTTCCAACATGCTGCCCTTTGTCTGCTTGTCTTCCCAAGAGATTTGCAGGATTTTCCAGAGGCAGCGCTGATGGAATCGTTCCAGGAGTTGCATGTGACGTCTGTAGACAGTCCACATCTCTCAGGCATATAGCAGGATTGGGAGGACAATAGCTTTATAAAGAAGCATCTTGGTATCCCTACAGATGTCTCGGTCCTCAAACACTCTCTGCTTCATTCGGAATAAAACTGCACTTGCAGAGCTCAGGTGGTGCTGTATTTCAGTGTCAATGTTGACTTTGGTGGAGAGGTGGCTGCCAAGGTAGCAGAAATGATCAACATTTTCTAATGTTACACCATTAAGCTGTATTTCTGGCATTGGAGAGGGATTGGAGAGAGAATATAAATATATACATGAAATATTTATAATATTATAATTTGATGCAATATAATACTAATAATAATATATTATAATTATATATTTATATTACATGTAATATTACAATATAATGGTATAGTACAATATAGTAATATTTAATACTGATATTGTACTATGCTAATAATATAATATATTGTATTTATTTATTTATTTATTTATTTATTTACTTTGCTTGTATACCGCTGTATCTCAAGCCCGAAGGCGACTCACAGAGGTTCACAAACAGTAAAAAAACAGTAGAAACAGCAGTGGTTCCATACAACATATAACAATTGACTTAACACATTATCCATAAATTACCAATAAGCAATTACAATGCACAATTATTACAAAAAACAACCGTACCCAATCTTCTCATCATCCAAGCGTAGTCCAGGTTCGTCGTCCATTGTTCCATTCCTATGTTCCATTACCAGATTGCACTAAATTACTCAAACGCCTGCACAAACATCCAGGTCTTCACCTTTTTGCGGAATACCATTAGAGATGGTGCTAGTCTAATGTCCGTAGGAAGGGCGTTCCTTGTAAGCCACTCTAAGTCCCCTTCAGGGTGAGAAGGGTGGCATAGAAATGTTGCAAATAAATAAATAAATAAATAAATAGGCTGGTGACTGCTGGAAGAGCACTTTGGTTTTCTGATATACAGACATACATACGTATAATGGATGGGGATATGGGGAATATACTGCATTTTATATGGGAAGGGAAAGGCATGCAGGATCAAGGGAAGATTCATCTTGGTCCCCCAGAGTTCATGTAAGATGACACAAAGCTCACTGAGCCATTCATAAAACAGGAGTTTTATTCACAAAAAGGGAATCCAATTCATAAATAATAGCCAAATTGATCAGATGCTGGTTTGGGTTACAGGGGCGTTGCCATGTGGGGCCATGGAAAGAGCCTTAGGTTCCACCATGGGGGAGAGATAAGTGATTATTGGATCATTCCAGCCTGGTGTCCTTGGCAAAACTATGAATTCCCTGATTATGAACTCTTTTACAGGGTCCTGGGGGATGAGGGTCATCTCTGATTACACTTCAAGAACTGAGACCAGTGTGGGCCAGACTTGGCTACTTGCAATTTCTTGGATTTTAACTAAGACTGAAGTATGTTTGGGCTATACAGCATCCCCCAGCCCAGGCTGACTCTGAGCTACTGAATCACCTAGTACCCAAGTAACCCTGTCCAACCTTATCCACAGTACACAGTTCTAGCCTGGATCCCCCTACTGCGCATGCGCAGCGCGGCGCATGTGTACGCGAAGGGGACGCCGTCAGTTCAACGGCTTGCTCAGCGCGCAGGCGCAGTCGTGTTCAAAGCAGGCAAAATGGCGGCGCCCGTGGATCTTGAGCTGAAAAAGGTATGGGGCGGGAAGGGGTGGGGATGGAGAGAGATAAACGAAGCTCAGGCCCAGAGCTGTGTGAGGCCGTTGTCGTCTGAGGCGAGTCTTTTCGGGAGCGGAGTTGCTCAGGGGCTCATGGCAGCACCAGAGGCCCTGTTTGAGCCTTTGCATTAAAGACAAAACGCCTTTGCCTGGAGTGTTTGTACTAGGAAACTATCAGAGCTTCGCTTCAGGATGGGGCCGCCTCTCTAGGCCACAGGAAAGCGGTTTGAGTGTTGGGCGAGGGCAGTGGAAGGCAGGCGACACTCTCTCAGCCTCAAAGCCAACCCCCTCTGCATCAGTTCTGCCAAGAAAACCCGCCTTAGGCTTTATCAACATCAGACTATGTCAACTCGTGTGTGCCTGTGCTTTTAAAGCCCCTTCCACACAGCTGAATAAAACCCCACATTTTTTGCTTTGAACCGGAATATATGGCAGTGTGGACTCAGCTAACCAAGGGCCCTTCCACACAGCCCTATATCCCAGAATATCAAGGTAGAAAATCCCACATTATCTAAGTGTGGACTCAGATAATCCACTTCAAAGCAGATATTGTGGGATTTTCTGCCCAGATATTCTGGATTATATGGCTGTGTGGAATTGCCCACAGATAATAATAATAATAATTATTATTATTATTATTATTATTAAACTTTATTTGTACCCCGCTAGCATCTCCCGAAGGACTCGATACGGCTTATAAAGGCCAAGGCCTCAACATAACAACAACAAACAATAACGATGCAAGCAAATTAAAACATAAGCAATAACACAACAAAACATTACACTATTACACAATAAAATCAGGGCCAGGCCAATGATGGGTACAGGTTAAAAGTCCTGGGTGTGTGAGGTGGTATGTTGGAGTTCTGGGCAAGTGCAATGTTCAGAGAGTATTAAACTCTAATAAAGTGCTTCTGGTACAGAGTGTTGGAGATTATCCTATTCTGGAAAGGCACATCGGAATAACCAAGTCTTCAAGTTCTTCCTAAAGACTGCGAACGTGGGTGCTAGTCTAATGTCTTTGGGGAGGGTGTTCCAAAGTCGGGGGGCAACCACAGAGAAGGCCCTGTCCCTCGTCCCCACCAAACGCACCTGCGACGCAGGTGGGATCGCGAGCAGGGCCTCTCCGGATGAGCAAAGAGAACGTGTGGGTTCGTAAGCGGAGATGCGGTCACGCAGGTAGGCAGGTCCCAAACGGTTCAGGGCTTTGTAGGTAAGCACCTGCACTTTGAATTGGGCTCAGTAGGTAAACGGCAGCCAACGGAGCTCCTTAAACAGGAGGGTTGACCTCCACAATATCTGCCTTGAACTGGATTATCTGAGTCTACACAGCCATATAATCCAGTTCAATGTGGATTTTATACAGCTGTGTAGAAGAGGCCTTAAATGGTTCTCTTACCAGTGGTTCTCAACCTCGGGTCCCCAGATGTTTTTGGCCTACAACTCCCAGAAATCCCAGCCAGTTTACCAGCTGTTAGGATTTCTGGGAGTTGAAGGCCAAAAACATCTGGGGACCCAGGTTGAGAACCACTGTCCTAAACACATAATCCAGATTATCAAAGGAGATCATTAACATTACCTACTTTGAACTGGATTATCTGAGTCTACATTGCTATATAATCCAATTCAAAGCAGAAAATGTGTGATTTTATTTATCTGTGTAGAAGGGGCCCCAGAAAATCAAGGCAGATAATCTGCAATATCTGCTTTGAACTGGATTATCCGAATCCACACTGCCATATAATTTTATACAGCCAAATGGAAGTTGCCTCAAAACCGGTTCTCCCAGGCCCCTTCTTCACTGCCATCTAATACAGTTTATCAAAGCAGATAATTCACATTACCTACTTTGAACTGGATTATCGGAGTCCACAATGCTATATAATCCAGTTCAGTGTGGATTTCATACAGCTGTGTGGAAAATGTCCCAGATTATCTGGCAGTGTAGACTCGGGGGCCCTTCCACACAGCCACATAACCGAGAATATCAAGGCAGAAAATTCCACAATATTTGTTTTAAACTGGGTTATTTGAGTCCAAACTGCCATATATTCCAGTTCAAAGCAAATAATGTAGAATTTTATTCAGCTAGGTTGAAGGGGCTTCATATAATTCCGTTCAAAGCAGATAATCCGGAACCAGATCCTGGAATGCAGGGCAGTGTATATCCATCCTGAAACATTCATAAAATGATAACGTTAACAGTGAGTATTCCTAATACTCATTAGAAAGTACACACACAAGCATCATTGGGTATATACACTAGTATATAATATCTATTTGCCATATTTAAAAGATTCAAATGGCCTACCCCGAGCAATTCTGGTCAATGTTCATTCTCAAAATTATATCACTAGGACTACTCCTTAGAACAAAATTCTAGTGAAATCATCAGAACCTTCCCACTTACTAGGCATTGGGTTAGGCCCTTTAATCTCAAAGTCTGTCTATTGTCGAGGCAGAGCTATCTAGAAGCAGATAACATCCAAGCAGAGCCCTTTATGTATGAGTCTCTGACAATCAAGGAAGGGCCCTTCCACACAGCCATATCACCCAGAATATCAAGGCAGATAATACACAATATCTACTTTGAACTGGATTATCTGAGTCCACACTGCCAAATAATCCAGTTCAATGTGGATTTCATACAGCTGTGTGGAAGGGTCCTTGGTTTTTATTGGCAGTCTCCCATCCAAGTACTAACCAGACCTGGTCCTGCTTAGCTCAATTATCAGACGAGATTTTGCCTTTTGTGTATTAAGGAAGCATTACTCACACATACAGTTCATTGAAGAGTCCACTGTTTCTTGTTTAAACAAAACACTAAGCCCCTTCTACACTGCCATATAATCCAGATTATCAGATCAGATAATCCAGATTATTATATGAGTCTACACTGCCATATAATCAACTTCAAAGCAAATAATCTGGATTTTATATGGCATTGTAGAAGAAGCTTGAGAACACATCTCCTTGATTGTCTTTTGGTCCTTCCACACAGCCATATAACCCAGAATATCAAGGCAGATAATCCACAATATCTGCTTTGATTATTTATTTATTTATTATTCAAATTTATAAGCCGCCACTCCCCTGGGGCTCGGAGCGGCTTACAAGAACAGGCTAAAATCTAACACAATTTAAAAACAACAATGTCAAAGATCAAAGGCCTTATCTGAGTCCACGCTGCCATATGATATAATTTGTTGCAGTATTTGCATGGTATTGAATTCAATACCAAAGCCTTCTCTGAAGTAACACTCTCCCTATGGACATTTCCTCCAAGAGAAGGCAGATTGGTGCCAACCTTGTCTAGTGTCCAATTAATAGTAAGAAAATGTATTTATCCTTGAAAACAGTGTTACAGTCTGTAATTAACTGCATAGATTTTGACTTGTGAATTTCATTTAATGTTTCTGCATAGACAGTATTTTACTGGACAAACCAGATCATTATTGCTATGGCCATTTACCAGAGGATGTGTAGTGGGTAGGACAGTCATTCTTCTTCTTAGTTATCTGTGAATCATATCTAGAACTGGTTTTGTATGTCACAGCATTATAAAGGGGGATAGCTGTTGAAGACATGCTATGAATGCTGTGTGTAGTGAATGCTAGTGCTACAATATGGAACACATTATGTTAAAAAATATCACGGGAGGGGTTGAAACTATAACAGCAATAGGAACCTGTCTTGAACTCCTTCACATGATCATTCCATCTCTGTTTGACTTGCTGTGTGTCTTCTAGATCTCAATCAGAAATACTGTATATCCTAGCCTTTCTATCTGAAATACTATTTACTGAAGGTTCAGCCTGGAATCGTCAGCATGGAAAGCATATCTGCAATATGCCATATAATAATAACTTGTTATAATTAGATTGTGGCCTAAACTGTCTTGGTCGTCCTGACTACAGTAGCCCTATTTAAGCCTTTTGTTTTATCTAATCAACAATTAATTCAATGAGTGTACTCTATTTGGGAGTGGCTGGCATTCTGTTAGAGCCATATACATGTGTGCATGTATTTTACATTTTACATTATGTATATAAAAGTGTGATAGTTCTGCTTTGTCTGTAGAGATTCTTTAATGTTGAGGCAAAAATACATTGATAGAGTTTTCTTGATTTTCTGCCGAAAATAAAACATATTTGATTCTAGGAATATATCTGAATAGGCTTTGTTACAGTATTTGCATGGTAACACAGATTTTTGTAGAAAATATAATGTCATGAAAAGGATACAGCGAAAGGAGGATTGTCAACATCCACTATTTTGTTACACCTGATATTAAAAAAAAATAGAGAGTTTGAGATTATGCTGCTCATTGAACGGTTGCAGCTGTGCTATCTTTTACTACAGCTATAATTATACTAACCATACATTTAGTGGGCAAGTATGTGTTAACACTGAACCCCCTGAAAACTTGTGCTCTTAGCTCACGAAGCTTAGGCTCAGCATGGCTATAGTAGTTTTCCCTCCACAGCAATTAAATGGTGTTAAGTTCCCTCCCTACCTACAGTTGCTGTGTAATGAAAACTTTCTCTACATGTTGAATGAAGGGAGGTGACAGGGAGAACACTTCACTAGCTGAGTAAATATCAATGAATGAGTCAGGCCAGCTGTTTTACTAGAGAGAGATTATAGTAGATGACATAAATATAGGTTGCTTAGGCAGCTATTGGATAATTATTTTTATTTTCAGTGTAATCTTTGATTAATTACATTGACACATAGTTTGTAATCATTATTTAACTCAAGTCAGAGCTGAGGGAGATGGTAGTTATCTGACTTAATTCCAGTAGGTCAGCAAGGGTTTCTGACTCAATTTCTTTGAACAACATAGCAATTTTTAAAAATCCCCTCATTTTCTAAATTACGTTTCTAAAGAACATGTTGAAGGGGAGACCAGAGTAAGCTGTTGTGGGAAAGAATTTGTGATATGATACTGATAACAAATGCTTGTTCTAATTCTCAGAAATGTCTTGTCCCCTTATTCCTAGTGTGTCTTGAACATTTTGTATTTATTGCTGGTTACTGAATTTCAGGATTCGTGTAAATACATGCTAGAACAATATTCTGTTAGAAACATACTTTATACAAACCTTCCCCGTTTAACCCAAGCTAATATCAGTTTGTTGGACCACATAAAACAGGGAAATAAACCCCAAATTCCATATTTGCAGCTCTTAAGGACACCCCTGCAAGCTTCTATGCCCCTATTAAAAATTAGGCCTTTTTTGGTCCCATAATCATAGAAACGTGTTAGAAGTGCTGCAAAATACTTTGATGTCATATCACTAACAATTTAGGTGCATTGCTACAATATGGTCCGTGGGAGGTAAAAAGTAACTCCTGCTTTTGGTGAATTTGTACATCCCTGACAGAAGAAGTATATACTATTTTGTATAGTGTTGTTGCTTTATATTTTACTGTTGTACTCTACTTGAGAATTTTTGAGGGAATCTTAGTATTATGTGAATATTTGTAAGTAAATAAGAAGTAAACTATAACAAATTAGATCTCACAACCTTGACATCTGCTCACCCTTGATTTAAGTGAATAAAAGGTTCTGCTGACTTACTGAATAACAGGAGTACAAGTTTGTTGTTGATTGTGACAATGTCTAGTTATGCTATCCTGTGCTATCAAGTATTGGAAACTCAGGACTATTACTTTCCTCATTGAATCTATTCACCTGAAATGTTGCCTTTCAGTTTTCCTACTGCGTTTTACCTTGCCAACCATTATTAAGACAATAATTAAGATATTAAAAAAACTATCAAGACAATACCTTCTAGTCAATCATGTTTTCTCATGGTGTGTCCAAAGTATGAGAAGTCTCACCTTAGCCAACTTAACTCTCAGGGAACATTCAAGCTCGATTTATTCTAGGACACATTTACCTGTATTTTCCTTTTTGGCAGTCCATGATATGCACAAAACTCTCCTCCAGTAGCACATTTCAAATGAGTTGATTCTCTTCATATCAGTTTTTTCTTCTGTCCAGCTTTTATAACCATACATAGAAATCAGAAATGCAGTATCACAGACAGACCTGATTTTGGTATTCAGTGATATATTATGACATCTGAGGAACTTATCTACAGTATATTCTGGCGTATAAGACTACTTTTTAACCCAAGAAAATCTTCTCAAAAGTCAGGGGTCGTCTTATACGCGGGTGTAGTCTTATGCATGGGAGTCATCTTAACTCTATATTTTAACTGGGAAAGTTGGGGGTCGTCTTATACGCCCAGTCGTCTTATATGCCGGAATATACGGTAGTTCATCCATGGTTACCCTTTCAGGTCCCCCACTTCTAGAGATTGCACTTTTCATTGTGATTGATGACTGAGTGAACATGTAGGAAATCTTGCTTTCCTCCAAGGTGTGAATTATAAAAGAGAGAACCTGAAGTGATGGTGAGGTCAGGAAACGTAGGAAAATCAATTCCTACTTCATCTGAGCCCTGCTCACGTTGACTCGCCATCTTTCTTTCCTCACAGCTGTGGCTGTGTGGGGAAATAGATGTAAATGTAGCTGATCTGAGACTTGAAGCAAGCATTGGGTTTGAGAAGCTTAAGGGGGAAAACAAACATTGGACTCTCCCCATTTTCTCTATTCTTTCCGTCATACATGCAAATAAACTTTTTTTGTTAAATTGGGTTATGCTAATACTAATATGTGAGCCTTTAAAATTAGTCTGGGAAGGAACCACTTTCTAGTGGTTCACCTCTTACCAACCACTTTAATCTCTTACCAACCAGTTCTACCCACCATTGACTCCTCCCCCCAGCGACACAGCAAATTGAGCTACCTGGAGAGACAGCCACACATCTAAAAGTCTGGATTTTCTGTAAAACCACAAGATAAAAGGCAAGGATTTTTGAAATAGTTTAAAGTCCAAAGATATACATTATAAATGAATGGTCACTGAAGCCCCTGAGGGGTTCATATAATGTTTTTACCCATGTAGACAAGTCTCAAGTTCGGTTTGTTATCCCTATATAGGAGAGCAAATTCAGTTTTTAATTGTTTTGCTAACTGTGTCTTTATTTGTGCTGTTTCCCTATCAGGCATTTACTGAACTTCAAGCTAAGGTCATTGATACTCAGCAAAAGGTGAAACTTGCAGATCTACAGATAGATCAACTGAATAGGACAAAAAAGCATGCACATCTTACTGATACGGAAATTATGACACTGGCTGATGAAACACGGATGTATGAAGGTGTAGGAAGAATGTAAGTAATTGTTCTTGTTATAAGTAATGTTGTGAATATTCCATGTTATAGTTGTCTTATAAAGTCTCAGGTGGTATTTAATGGTTCCCATTGCAGCTAATGTCAAAATGTGCTATCTTCATAATTAAACTGCTTTTTCAGTTGGAACAGCACCCAAACAATGTGAGTCACATTTGAACTTAGAAACAGAACTAAGTGGATTTCCAAAAAAAATGATTTTGTAGTCATCTGACTCCCCATTAGCATCAAATTATGGCCTACACTAATCCAGTGACAGCTGATGGCTTTCATGTCTGTGAAAAGAAGTTATCCAAGCTATTCAGATATATTCCCAAAATAGTCTTAGCACCTTGGACAGCTCTTGTAATATTTGAACCAAAACCCGTAGTTGATTCATCGACCCACAGAGATGGGAGTGTAAGATTTACTTTCACTTGTAAACCTCTTGGGCTTTTTCTCCATATGATCTTTATTGTCTTATGTGGAGGAGATTTTTTTTGCCAAAACATTGCAATCCTGATCCTGTTGGGTTCTTTCCATTGTATTGTTGTTGCATGAACTGTTCTTAAGATTAGTTAATCCATTTGTTTTGAAAGAGCAGGGAGAAGTATGTGTGCTGTTTCAGTTATGTTCAGTCTTTCATCTATAAATTGATTTTAGAGTTTCTAAATCTAGCGTTCTCTAGTGACAGTGTCTTTCATGTTTGCTTATGCCATATCAAGAGCAATTTGCAACATTGTGAAAATGATGCCAAAACAGCTTAATGTTTAGTAAAGTCGATAAAATTGATAAACAGAAATGTGTTGAAAATGTTTTTGTATGTATCAAGATGTTCAGATTTTTGATGGAATTGGGTATTTACTATATTCTATCATGAGCATGTAGGTGAGAATCCCAGCCCAGATCCCAATCCTGTAGTTTGGACTCCATGCCCTGGTTTGAAATAGTTAATATTCTCAATGTGACAGCGCTATCTTGGATCACATATGGCACTGCCCCATTGCTACCACTCCAAGATAAATATGGCTTCCTCTCACATCCTCACCCCAGCACTGCTGTGGACCCTTTTCTTTAGAGTGTGTAGCTGTAACTATGGTGGCATGACTTTGATTTTCTCTTTTACTGAATTGCTTGCCATCATTAGATTGCATAGGGAGATCTCCAGATCTAGTGTCAGACTTTAGGATTCCTGCCAATTTGTTTCTAAAGGTTCATCTGAACCTGAAAGGTTTCTTAAATTCACAAAGCTTGTTATGGACTATGGTCAAACTAGTTTTTGTGCAAAAAGTGATATACATGCCTCAGTTAACAAATTAGGTGTATTCCTAGGCATTCCATCATTAACACCTTGCTCTCCTTTGAAACATTGGGAGGGATAGGATTGGAGAATTATGATGTCCCAGTCACCAGAAATTAAAACAACAGCTTCATTGCCTCAGAAATAGATTCCCTGTCTCTCTCATTGAACTAGGAATGAGCCAATATTGTTGGTCATTTAGGGGCTCTCAGCATCTGTCTGTGACACTTTGTGTGGCATTTTAATTTTAATTCATGGAGCACGGTTCTCAGCTTCTGCTGCCATGCAGGCAGTGGGTTTGACCCCAAGCAATATAATAGTAATATCCTTCTGCCATCATTGGAAATCCAGAATAAGTCCCTGTAACAGAACAGAGGAAATTGCCTATAACAGTTTTGACATTTCAAGACAAGAAATGCTGTGAGCTTTATACGGCAGAGACGATAAGTATTTATTTATCCCGACACATTCTGCTAATGATATACATACTCAAATAGTGTCAAAGGAAATGTCTGCAAGTATTCATTCAGAGCGTTAGGAATCTAAACTTTCATCATAGGTCTTAAAGTAAAAAGTTGATGTCAGTGCACAAATAGTTCAAGCAGCAAAACTAGACATTGGTGTATGTGAGTGTATCAGGCTACATAACAAGCCTTTCAAAAGACTATGAACTAACAGAATTAAAATGTACTGGCAGGATGCCAAGATCCCAGAGTGTCTCCTGAGCAACAGATACTAGTCGCTTACAATTATACCAATTCATCATCCCCTGCTGTGCATTGCTGGCTTTTCTTATATGAAGCCAAAAATAACTGTCCTGGGAGAAAAAGTATTTTTGCTTCTCAAACTTTCTAAGACTAAAAGTCTGTACATGGGGTATGTTGCTGCTTCTGTTCTGCTGTATGCAGGTACTTGATGGCATGTAATAGAATGTGTGATTTCAGTAGGACTTGATTGAACTCTCATTTTCCTTACCACATTTTAAAGGAAACTTACATAAGCCTCCTATGGGCTGTTAGCTACAGTGAACCCTCAAGTATGTGGTGATTGTAGCCTTAATATACTCCGTTTTGTTTTATTTTTTGATGTACTGAAAGTCATGCCAGGCGACTTGAAGATAGTAGCTGCAGGGTGTTTTTCGTATGTCTGAACCAATAAACGTGTTAGCTGTCTGCCTCCCTTTCACCCCATTCCCATTGATAATGGTTTTTACAGGCTACCACCATTGGAACTATGCTATAGGAAACTGATATTTATAAAATAAAAATTGATTCTGCTTTAATACTCCTCAGCATCAGTTTAGTCTAGCATTTTGTTTAGGATTAAAGTGTTTGGTAGAAGCCGTGCATTGTGAATGACATTGTTTTAATCTAAGTTTGAACTAGAAGTAAAACTTGTAGTATATAACAGAAAAACAATGGAATACTAGGGCGGCCCACAAAGACAGCAAATGACATACAATCAACCTTCCATATCCATTTGGAGGGGATAAGAATTAAAGTATAGTACTACAAACAAACAACAACAACAAAACTAACATTGCCTTATGCATAAATCAACCAGAGTTCTTGCGGTTGGATTTTAACTAAAATTTCAGCAGTAAAGTTATCTTGAGGCTTTTATGTTAACATTGAAGGCAAATCTATGGAACTGTTTAAATAATGAGCTTTGGAAGCAGAAGCTTCTACTTCTAGCAGATTTGTCTCATTGATTTTTATACTCTTGACGAGATTGAGGAGCGTTGAGAAATCAAGGTATGCAAAAAGAGTACTGGGTTACATGGAACCTCAGGAGTTACCCCTGGATTAGAGACTAGGTCCTCTTATGAATTAATAACTAGACATAAGGTGTGAAAATAAAGCCGGCAATTCTTGCAATGAAAAGATGCAAAAAGTGTGGATTCTCCCATAGGATCAGAATTTGAAGTGGTGCTTTGCAATTTCTTCTGAAATGAGCTGAATTTGAAGCTAAGCTGTCGGGTAGCCAGGTGTAAGACTGACACTGAGGCCCCTTCCACACAGCTGAATAAAATCCCAGATTATCTGCTTTAAACTGGAATATATGGCAGTATGGACTCAGATATCCCAGTTCAAAGCAGATATTGTGGGATTTTCTGCCTTGATATTCTGGGTTATATGGCTGTGTGGAAGGGCCCCAAATGATACAAGATGATAAAAACAAGTGATTGCAAGTGTTTAAAAAGAGGCTGGTGTGGTTCAGAGTAAGTATGAAATAATGCACATTGGAAGAGAAAATTCACAGTTCATTTGTGTAGCCAATAGAGATTAAATTGGCAAGGACAGTAGAGCATGACAGAGATGCTATTACTTGGAAGGCTCTGTACCTGATTACCACCTGGCTCACTAGTAGGCTCATCCTTTTTATAGATGTGTTTTAAATATACTCATTCCTTGAAATATGTATGTTATGTTGTATGTATTTCAGTAGCATTACTCTGGTATTTTGGCTGGAGAATCTACGGTACTTGTTCTAGTTGGCGTAAACTGAAAATGTGTTAGGAGAGTTACTGGGAAGGTTCTGGAGTTGCCACAAAGGTGTCAATACGCTTCCTTCTTCATTAGATTAATGTGCAATCATGAGAACATGCTTGGCCACTTAATGACTCCTTCTCTGACTACGCCATAACAGTAGTTTTGAGTTTGCTGGTTTGGGGCCCTGATAAGAAGTTTGATTTGGTTCACAATCTGGTGAGGACATTTGTGGACTTGCTTGTGCCATACCAGCATTGGCCCTGCAGGTAGTATAGTTCTATATTTCTTGTGTGTTGCTTCTATGCTTAATGGTTAATGGGGAAATTTCTCTTCATTAATCCCTTTGGCCATTACAACATATTATCCAATTAATAAACCCTTATTTTACTACAAAAACAAAGAGCCCAGAATAATAATAACCCCCCTCCCAGACCGAAATGCTCTCTTGGAAAAGAGTTCATGTTGATAAGATGAGCTGGATGCCTCTTTTACTGTGCTGGGGGATGGGGGCACGCTTTGGTACACCATGACAACTTGAACCTAAATGAGACAGCATGTTGTCGAATGTGATTTAAATAGTTTTATTGGTTCTGCTGCATTCTCTCGCACTAATGTGTGCCTCTGTTGCTCCATGGACCTTTTAATAGTGCTGCTATTTTTATTATACATATAGAACCTATACATAGAAGAAAATGTTAAAGACAATAATGCATATTGAAACATTTTTATTGATCCTATATTTACTTTCCTTCCACTCCACTTGTTTTTTACATTGCTGCTCATCACTGTAGTATCACAGTTTAGATCTGCTATTTGGTTCGTACAAAATTGATTACATTGACATTGTAAATAATCATACATTGGTACTGAGGAGTTAAAATATTACTTTAAATATCCATCAAAGCAATGAAAATAGTAGAGACATTAATCACTACTCTGTGTATTCCCAAATACATTGAGCTTTGTAGGATATTAGAGGCAGAGTTGAAGTACTTTGACCACATAATGAGAAGACAGGAAAGCTTCTCATTATGGAGGGGCCCACCAAGGGCAAGATGGATGGATGGTATCCTTGAAGTAACTGGCTTGACCTTGAAGGAACTGGGGGTGGTGATAGCTGACAGGGAGCTCTGGCGTGGGCTGGTCCATGAGGTCACAAAGAGTCGGAAGCGACTGAATGAATAAACAACAAAAAATTCATACATGCATGA